TTGTATGCATCTTTACGGTAAACTGTGGCTGTTGTTCATAAATGAACAATTTTAAAAAGAGAAACGGAACAATTTTTGTGCATCGAAATGTTGAGTAAAGAGTCAATCCATAAACTCATACAATAAATAGATTTGTTTCAGTTATCTAATCGTACAACAGCCAATTTCAATTAGAGACAGCAGTTAGAGAACTAATGCCCCACTGTAACAATGCATATATTGCAACGCCTCACATTTTAAATTTACAAAGGTAACGACCTCCACCTCACTTATATACACTTCATATCCTTGTAAGTAAGCAAAAAGGTTCATTAGCTTGGTTGTTGGATAAATATGAAAATTCTCAGACACAAGCCTAAAATTTTCCGTACCGTTAGCTTACGGCCAACCTGGTCGAAGGCCTTCATCAGACTGACGTGAGTAGTTGTTCACACTCACTGACCGCTAGATGGTATAGCGGCCAGGACCCTCTTATAAATGTCAGGTAGATCAACCAACTCAAGAAATGGGTAATCAACCGATCGGACCGCATGTTAACTGACACTGAGACACGTCTCTTAGCCAAAGGGTTAAATTTTGCCGTAGCTCCGAAGATTCTCCCCGTAGAAGACATCATCGTGCAGACGGAGCTAGCATGTAGAAATCTTGACAACACCGAGGCAGCAGATATGCGTGCGGAGATCGTAGGGGCGATCAAGTCATCAAAACCCCCGACAGATAACATCAGCAGAGAAGAACGGAGAGCACTTCTAGACCTAAAGAAGGACAAGTCCATTATGATCTTGGCCGCTGATAAAGGACGAGCAACAGTGGTTCTAAATAGGACAGACTATGAACACAAGATACAACAATTGCTGAATGATGACAACACCTATGAGAAACTAAAGCGTGATCCAACTGCAGCTTATAAACGTAAGTTAACTAAGTGTTTACTACGGCTACAGAAAGAAGGGAAGCTATCTAGGTCTCAATATGCTCAACTATACCCTACTGCGGAAACACCACCTAAGCTGTACGGTCTTCCTAAGATTCATAAAGAGGGTACACCCTTAAGGCCTATAGTGTCAAGTATTGGATCTATCACCTACCAGACAGCAAAGTTCCTAGCCAAAATCTTAAACCCACTAGTAGGTAAATCATGCCATCNATAAATAATTTTAAAAAAAATAAAATAAAACATAACAAAAAATTCCAATAAAGCTGCTATTCAAACTTTAAATCTAGCTGTGTAATTACTAGCATGACTAACATTTACCTGCACAATAATCACTGATTCCTAATTATGTGATACAGTTAAGAGAGATATACCTAGGGGACTTTACAATGAAATCTCATCGTGTGTTTTATGTAATCTCATTTAATGGCCACTTGAAAATTAATTAAGCAAATTACTTTATGAACGTGTGTTTTATGTAATCTCATTTAATGGCCACTTGAAAATCAATTAAGCAAATTACTTTATGACCCTGAATTAATATACTGCCATATACATTTATTGCACCATAGTTCACTCTATAGAACTGCATTGCTTCCAAAACAGAAAACAATCACACTGGTTTTCCAACACAAGCTGCACTTCAGTCTTATGAAACTTTTTAGTAAATTTGAGTATCATAAGTAACATGAGCAAAAAGGTTCATTAGCTTGGTTGTTGGATAAATATGAAAATTCTCAGACACAAGCCTAAAATTTTTCGTACCGTTAGCTTACGGCCAACCTGGTCGAAGGCCTTCATCAGACTGACGTGAGTAGTTGTTCACACTCACTGACCGCTAGGTGGTATAGCGGCCAGGACCCTCTTATAAATGTCAGGTAGATCAACCTCAATGGACGTACTAATCTGTCAGTAGAGGACATCACAGAGCTATTAGACATTGTATTGAACACCACATATTTTATCTATAAGGGTGAATTCCATAAACAGAAACATGGAGCAGCCATGGGCAGTCCAATCAGTCCGATCGTGGCTAATCTGTATATAGAGAACTTTGAGGAAGCCGCACTGGGATCCATGCCCAATCCTCCATGTCTTTGGTTGAGATATGTAGACGACACGTTCACCATCTGCCACAGAGACCACATAACTGCTATCACCGATTTTATCAACAGCCAAGACCGTAACATCAAGTTCACTAGAGAGCTAGAGGATAACAATTCTATTGCTTTCCTGGATTCATTGATCACACGTGAAAACGACGGCCACCTGAGTCTGAAAGTCTACAGGAAGGCCACTCATACCAACCAATACCTAAACTTCCAGTCGCACCACCCATTACATCAGAAACTGGGGGTAGTAAGAACTCTAAAACACAGGTGCAACACGATCGTGACTAATGAGGAAGACAAGACCTTGGAGAACAAGACACTAGATGAGGCTCTCGTGATGTGTGGTTACCCACCTTGGGCTTTAAAGACCAAACCTCGTCAGGATAAGACAGCAATAACTAACTGTGAGCCAACAGATACAGTCGGAAAAAAACAGCTAGTGATCCTCCCTTATTGTAAAGGAATTTCAGAGAAAGTGTGCAGGATCTACAAGAAGCACAGTGTCAACACAGCTTTTAGACCTCAGTGCACATTGAAACAACACCTAGTGGCACCAAAGGACAAAACCCCCCAAGATCACCGTTGTGGGACAATATACAGGATCAATTGCCATGACTGTAATTCCTTTTACATTGGTGAGACAGGTAGACAGTTGAAGATCAGGGTGAATGAACACAGGAAATCAGTGACTGTAGGCAATACCAGCTCTGCCATTTCTGAACATGTAATAGACACCGGCCACAGTATAGATTGGAATTCAACTAAGATTCTTGAATCTGAATCATCCGACATCCCGCGAAAAATACGAGAGGCTATCAACATCAGCCGACACCAGCCACCCATGAATAGGGACGGGGGGGTTGATCTACCTGACATTTATAAGAGGGTCCTGGCCACTATACCACCTAGCAGTCAGTGAGTGTGAACAACTACTAACGTCAGTCTGATGAAGGCCTTCGACCAGGTTGGCCGTAAGCTAACGGTATGAAAAATTTTAGGCTTGTGTCTGAGAATTTTCATATTCATAAGTAACATGGTTTTCCCTTAATCGCTATCCTGGCAGCAGTGTCCAAAATACGGGATTCTTCAACTTTCATGCAATATAACACAATACTTAACAGCATAATGACCATCAATTTTTTATTAAAAAAATAAAAGTATCATGGATATTCAGAAAATGTGATTTGGGAAGGTCTTCAAGACCATGGAAGTTCAGAGTCACACATTCAAAATGCCAAAATGTAAACAAGAGATAACTGTACTGAAATGATTTTCTTTCCATTTTCAACACCTTTTTACATAAAACAAAATAATCAATTTACTGTCATTTTAAATGATCTAGAAAAATTGTTGACATAGGAAAAATATCAATAGAACAATTTTAAATGTCCAATTTGTTCCATTCACAGATTCTGAACATGGTGAATGATTGGATCTGACAAACTGCAATGATGAGTTCCTTTCCATTTATGATACTTTATAACAGGTTTACCATCATTTTTATATAATCAATTAACAATATTGTTAAGAACCAGAAAATGTCAAAACAACACTTTTATATATCTAATAAGTTACATAATGAGACTGTTAACATGCCTAAGAATTAAATCTGAAGAAAAAACACTTATATTAGGTACCGGCAGCTATTTTTTATTTCAATATTTACAGGTATAAACAATGCACCAAATGAAAGAACTTTGGAAATGATGTACAATGATACTTTATTTGACTCTCTAGCACCAACAGTTCCCGAGATATGAGTGANCGTAAGGGGGGCGCCTCATTGTTTTTGCAGATTTTCTAAACAGATGCCCACCGACAGATGATAACGAGATCGCTGTCTTTCATTCCGAACAAGGTTACGTAGATGTTGGCGTGCTCCCTCAAAGCATGCCGATTTACAACATCACTATTTAAGACGATAAATTGGGCATAGGACGATGAATTGAACATGTTGATCCTCGGACTTACAGATCCGCAGATTAAATATGGCCTACCTAGTCAAAGGTACCGTGTAACCGCTTATAGTCCGCTGATCCACGTCTCCACATTCGCCGTCTCTGCAGGGGCCTAGCGATCAAACCTCGGACCCGAGATTTAACGACTTTAATGACGCACGTGGGACCATCTGGGGATTAAGCGGCTTCCTTTGATTTGGTATCTGCCATATTTAGTCCTCGGTCATATTTAGTCCACGGGTCATCTTTTCTAAATGTTCTCAAAGAAACATCATACATGTATAAATTATTAGGTACCGGCAGCCATTTTTTATTTAAATATTTACAGGTATAAACAATGCACCAAATGAAAGAACTTTGGAAATGATGTACAATGATACTTTATTTGACTCTCTAGCACCAACGGTTCCCGAGATATGAGCGATTTAAGTTTTAGTAAAATAGGCGTTTCATGTTAATAGAGATTCCGTTATTTTTTGCCATTTTACAGACACTCTCTACTGACCAAAAATGATATCAGTAAGTATTAAAATAATGCATTACTTACAACTATATACATAGAAGTAAAATACATAATTTCATGTTGGAAAAAATAACCCTTTCTGAGATACTCTGCAATGAAAATCCTATTTTGTATCAAGCGGCCATAATAAAACAATGCTGATTATTCACATACAAGCAAATTGATGCATTCATTATTTGTTATTCTATAGGTAAATGCTATCAATTTTTGTTTTAAATGGCACAACTATATACAGATATCATGTCTAATTTTTTTCAAATACACTGGGATAATACTTTTTCTATAAATAGCTTGCAAAATTAGAAAAAAAGGCAATATCGCAGACGGAATTTCTACCATTGCATGTACTTTAACTGAATTGCAAAAGTAAATTGATGATTACTCAGTTACCATTCATGCCACAGGCTTGATCTAGGTATCATTGGAAAGCTAATAACCTTATCTTTAACAATATTGCATTTACAAAGTATTAGGATAACATATTTTTTTCAAATGGGCAAAACACAGTATAAATACCCGAAAAATCTACTTGCATTCAGTAATTCTACTGTCCTGTTGATTTATTATGCCAACATTTCTTATCCAGAGCAGTCTTACTTTTATTTCACAAGTACTCTTATTCTTTGCAATGCATAAAAGTGCATTTCACTGCTATAACAAACTATGTTTCTGTATTTTAAGTACAGTATCTGTAAATCCTTCAAGATAGGAATTTCCAAACAATGACCGGATAATGTTTTTAGTTCAAGGTCCCATGCAAAGACATATATTCAGTCTGTCTTCTATCTTCTATTTTTTGTCTTAGACCCCACTTGAAATAAATTTCCTTTCCTCTTAATTCAAATTAAAATTAAATCTATTAAACAGCCTTTAATAAAAGGCATAAAACTTTCTCAACACAAACAACTGGACACGATGCTTGTTTGTACAATGCACAACAGGGGGATCTGGTCACCTTCCATGTCCTGTCACGCTGAAGATTTTTTCCCAATATATGGAGGTAGTCGTCATCTAAAATAATTGATGAAAGGTTTTCACACGTAAAAACATTGAGCAGTTTCATGAAGCATCATGTTGTGGAAGTAAGAAATATCCCAATCTATAAAATACTAAATTTTCTAAAATTAATTTTGATATCTTCATACAATATTTCAATAAGTTAATTTCCCTTTTTTAATTTTAAGAATTATGCTAAAAATATAAGTTTCTTAAATATTTCTTGATATACAGCAGTAAGGCCTAAATTATTGCCAATGAGAGCAGAATATGTACCATTACTACCTATTCAACTGATAATTTCTTCAGGCAATTCACACTCATTCCAGCTTGTGTTGGGGCTGGCCATTCACGAGTTCTGCTTGTGGCCTAAAATGGTAAACAACACTGTCAAAATATATTGCCCTGAGTAAATGAAATAAGTGTTTGCAATTTTAAACAATGAATAAATTATAGCATCAGTTACTTCCTGTCAAATACGATGTCTTTTATTATCGCTCTACTAAAAAAAGTCGTAGGCCTAGTATAATCGCTCACGATCGTGTGCAGTAGAAAATTAATTATCTTCAAAAATATGAGGCTCTAAGTCCTTAAATTAAATCAGTACAATTTTTTAGATCATATGTAACACTAGTATAACAGAACCGTGTCACAATTTTTTAATATGGACACGCTAGGAAAGCTCTGAAGTCCATTGTTTGCCTGAGGCCTCGTCCGTAATACGAACCAAATTCACTCAACTTTCTTTACCCCAAAACCACATACATATTGAAGTAGTTTGGACACATTTTATATATTTCGTCAAGAAATGCCAAAAGAAATGTGACCGTGACTAGATTAGGGGGTCTCTTACCTTTCATTGTCCCTAAATTAGACAAGTAGACACAAATTTTATGATAAAAACGGCAGAGGAGCTTTCGACACGCTCTTCGCGGGCGCAGCCATGTTGTTGACGGCACACGGGTTGATATCTTTGATCGCCTGGAGAATTTGCGCCCGTGGATTTGTAATTTAGTTTCGAATATCATTAAAATCTACAGAAGTTGCACTTTATTTTGATATATAGTTTGTGGGGGGTAAATAATTTGCATTATATAAATTTTTTAGTTTTTCTTTCGACAAATCTTTAAAACTTACCTTTTTTTGTCGACTTTTATAATTTTTCCTTGGTGGATATTTTCGAATGTTACTTCGATGGCTAGCTCTTCTTTTCAGCTTTCAGATGACAACAAAAACATGCGTGTGCAAGTAATAGCGGAAAATCCCCGAGACGTTTTCTAATGCCTTGTCAAGGAGCGCATTTGCACCTAAGCGCTGCTGTGCTGTCAGCAGCTGTACAATGTTGCTAAACTGCGCGTAACATGTTTTAATCAACTCTTATTAGACTACGTTTTTTAATGTCAAATCTAGCTTTGTTCTATATGATTTGAAAGAGCAACACCTGCCCTTTTATATGGTATAAAAATATAGGGGGTTACTATTAAATTTAATACTGAAATTAAACCTTGAAAATGACCTTTTTGGCCCTTTTAAGCAGGTTTTTCTGTGCGTTATATGCTTGCTGCCGGTACCTATACTATAAACAAATTTCCTGCAGAATTCCCCGCGGAAAGGACTGAGGCCCAAAACGAACAGTCAGATTTACAGATAGTTCAAGGCTTAGTAAACGAGACACTGCTTTATTAAATAATTGTGTTTTTTTATAAGTGTATGATCTCTTATCGCTCTCATAGGGATTCAAAATTCAATTATGTACAATTAAATAATTACCTCGTCGGGAACTCTTTTTGATATTAAGTCGATCTAGACAACATGTCAATTTAAAAGCCCATTCAGAATAAAAGATTCGAGGATCTTCTGATACACGAATNCGGCGACGACGACGGCACCGACGGCGACGACGACAGACGCAGATGATGGCTATATGTACAGACACATCTGTGTCTGTACATAAAAATTCCATTTTACCACCAAAAGAGCAGTTTACTCAATTATTCCGTGCTTGCCTTAGACCATGTCAACCTTCATAGATTGCTATACCTCTGTAGCTATACCTCATGGACTAACTTTGAATGATAGATAGGATTCATAAACCATTGGCAAGTGTGGGGAAACAGTTGTTTTCTGACCAAAACGAACAGTTGCTATCCATTTTAACAGACACACGTATATCATCAACATCAACCATATTGCTCCACTGTACAAGTAAATAAGCAGACATCATTAGGTTTATTACTTTTAACCAACATAAAACATCACAAAACCAACAGTTAACTCACCAACTGTTAACTATTACTTAAATTAAAGGAAATAACTGAGTATAAAAATACTGTAATAACCCATAGTAAAGACTTTGTTAAGCTTTTATCCAAAGTAAAATAAGAAAGCAGTGGCTAAGTATAAACAAAAAGTTCTGTGACTTTACTCGAAAGTAAGGTGATGATAAAAAGTCCCAGTAGTTATTATAAAGAGCACAAGAAGTGAAACCTTTGTCAAATAAAATAATTTAAAATATTAAGTCAAGTGCCTATTTGTAAAATAACTTATAAATTAAAACAGAACATTAAAAAGTAAATGTAATTAAGATGTGAAGTAGATACTGTAACGTACATTTCATATAAAGATCTCACTGTTTTTCAAACTGACAACTAAAACAAGCATTGCCCAGTAAAACACTGATTGCCTCACTTGCCTTGTGCATCATTTCTAATTTCATACAACATCATATTGAGTACAGGGGCTGCTCTTAAATAATTGATGTATACAAAGGACCAAACAAATGGCAGATTTTTCTGGTGCCAGAGATAAATTTTCTTGCATTCATTTACTTGAAGCAAAAGACCAATAATATGCTACCTTTTCATTAAAAAATATAAATGTTAAACAATGTCAAAATTCACAAATGAATTTTCAATTAAACAAAGTTTCAATGTTTGGCATTATTATAACAGCCAATTTCAAGTCTAACAACCAAGAAATTTTCATTCTATATCAAAAATATATCAATGCTGGAAATACTTAGTAAAGCAGTGTGCATGATGAAACAATATGATCAACCACTCAAATGTGCTCTTTATAATAATACTCATATTTCAAGATATAATTTGAAAAAAAAAAATTAAATAGAAAATATATAACAATACACAAAAAATACCTAGCATTCCTGAAAGTGTGCAAGTGCAAAATAAGAAAATATAACACAATATTGAACTAAGTAATAAACAGAAGTTAAATTATTAGTGATCTACAAAAGAACATAGGGCCTGGAAGTTGGGAAAACACACTTCTTTAAACAATGTGCTATGAGAACCACTGGACAGGACATTCTCACAAACACCTAAAAAATGTGTAAGCCCAACATGCTACATAAAATTCTGATAATAACCTGTATACTAGTAGCAAGGTTCTACATGTGGACTATGCTCGATAAAGTAGAGCTGGTGAAAGAGAGGCTACCAGGAGGAGAATGGCTACATAGCTGATAAGAAAAAAAAATTAGAACAATGAACTAGGATTATAATTAATTTGACTTGGATTTGTAAATAAAACCAATTGCTAGTTGGAAAAAAAATAGCATTCCAGGGTATATTGCCAAAATTAACAGTGTGTACTAGTAGGCATTTTTTTACAAGGACATCATATCTAATTAATTACATTAAGTTAGTTAGCAGAAGCAGTATCTGGCAAGATGGGAAAAGACTAGTTGTTTATTTGGTACAAATGCATTAGAGACACTATACTAGTAATAAGCAAATACTTAAATCTTATTGACTTTAGCAGTTAGATGTTAATTAAAAGATTATGAAAAGAAAGCTGTACTAGAAGTAACAGAAAAATCATAAGAGGTGCAATATTTTAATCTCAGACTAAAATTATTTTGCTAATACACATCATCTGGAAAACACTAGTATAAAACATACTAGACAGAACATGTAGCACAAAAAATGCATGCATGGGAACTTACGCCGTGCTCTGTCGCAATCTTGACTGCCATACTGTGGCTCTCCATAAGATGGGAGCAAACAGCAGACTTAGGGTGGTCACGCTGAGGATCAGCAGGTAAACCTATAGACATAGGGAGAGATAGTTAAACCATTTGAAGAGAAACTAGAACTTGTTCAAATATCTAAATATCTCACAAATAACATTTTCAGGATATTATAATGATTAGCTGCACGTGAACAATGCATGCAAAACATACATGTACTGCACTTCTTGCACTGCAAGTTGAAAAGACACAACTCAATATCTATTCAACTTTATCTGGCACTTTCAAAAACAGTCTCTCCCATCAAATGTTGTAAGTTACAAGTGGTTTGATAAAACTTATTTAAACATATGACTGTCTGGTTTGTAAATTTTATCACATTAATAGAAAAACATTAATATCTTGGAAATTATATGGAAAAATTCCATAAATTCAGACAACATACTGGTAAATATATAGTATTTAATTTTTTCAAAACAATAATTTCTCTGACACACTAAAACTTACATGTATAACAGCCAATTCAAAAGCATTGTCAATGAATGTTTAGTCAGTTTCAAGATAGTGTAAATTTCACAGTGCAATGTTGTGGGTCTATGAAAAAGATAAATCTTGAAAAAATTCAAGCACATCAATATTTACAATAATTACCATAAAATTACTGTACAAAACTGAAGCCATAAGCACCTACCTCTCTAGAAATCAATCCTAATCGTCTGGCTCTGCTTCCTAGGACTAGGGAGAACTCGCTGACTTGAGCAAGGCCTGCAGACACCACCCACTTTGATTTACGAGAGTTGTCTGGCAGTAACACTGACAGGACGGCAACACTAGAGAAAAACTGAACAAAGAAATGCAAACAGAGCTATTATGACTTTTATTAACTACTGTGAAATAGGTTTTTCATCATCTCTAGTGTAAAAATATAAAACAAGGTAGCAAAGTTGTCAAATGTACAGGCACAAAGCAGAAAACAAGTATGCTGACGTACAATAAAATTATTACATTATTTTAAGTAGCATTATCACCACCAATTTTAATTATTTACATAAAAGGCAAATCATTTACAGAGGGACTAGACACTCTTATAAGGCAAACTGTTCTTATGCTTTTGCAGCTCATATCAGAGTCATTCAATGAAATACAAGGCCCTCTGATAAAAGGTTGACTCATAATGCCTCACACATTAAATCTCTTTAGAAATTACTTTTTTATTTACTTTTTTACAGCTTTCAATATCAAAATTAAGAGTAAAATAAGGCACCAGACATTAAAACATTCAATTTGTCTTTGGTCAAATTAAATTAGCTGAATTCACTAGTGGGCTTGATTTGGTCTTAAAGTGCAATTTAAGAACACAAATAGTCTTACATGATCTTAAAACATGAGTAAGACCATTTCTAGTCTGACAGCCAATTTTAACTTAAAAGTTGTCTCCCCTTACACATTCTCCTATTGTGAGCAGAAGTGTCCTCTATTGTGAGGGGAGGTATCCCCTGTTGTGAGGGGAGGTATCCCCTGTTGTGAGGGGAGGAAACTGCTTGACCACTTAAGTAGATGTTAGTTCATTTTTGATCTTAAAAGCAGATTCAGTCCATTTTAAGACTACTGCTGTAATGATTAAGATCGTGTAAGATCACTTGTGAACTTAAATTGCACTTTAAGACCAAATCTAGCCCACTAGCTGAAGCCACTGGCAAATATTTTTTTTTAGCAAAAACTGAAGTCTGGTGTAAATTATTATACTGATCACGTATCTTGAGGACCACTGTAACAATTTACCTTAAATCCTACAACTGCTAATGTCAATGTTGTTAGAATGGTCAGTTCATAGACCAAGAATGTGGGGAATATATGAAGACCTGAAACAGAATTTGTGACAAATAAAAACTTTATCAAAACAAACCAACAACATTCAATTCATAATAATTTTTGTGAAGTACCATAGCATATCAATATTTTAATTGATAAAATGCAAAGCAAGAATACAGATAACATCCAAAACAAATACTGCTAAAAAATTCAAACTGAAAGGGAAAATGTGAAACATAGCTCATTACAATAAGCTTGAGAATCAGAAATATGATATAATGTCAAAATATTGGTACTTGCCTATAGATGCAAAGAAAATACAGCCAAGAAAATCTTTGATCTGCTGCATGAGTTTTTCTAAATCTCCTGCCAGCTGTGGTCCCTGTGCACTCAACATTACCCCTGCCAGGAAACAACCCAACTCCATAGAGACTTGCAGATAATTTGTTATCTGTAATATTAAATGCTTGAATATTTTATTTATATCAAAATTTGACAGGGTGGGTTAAACATTGTTAATATAGATGGTAAAAACCATCTCTGACCACTGAACAAAGCCCCCACATATTCCTAATTCCATTATTTCTAATAAAACCTTTAGTGATTTAGAATTGCAGCTGATCAACAGAAAATGTGTTAGTTGTGATATGAACACAATCAGGTGGACCAGTGTTATTCCTTCAATATCAAATGGTATAAGTAGTAAGAATGACCCTTCCTTGTCCTTCTCATTGTGCCCTGACCTCATCTAACACATTCTGTGGTCTTTCTATGTTTTGATACTGAACTGATAAAATTGGTATAAAACACTTTTCACTCATTATCTAACCATCACTCAACAAACACCATACTATTTTCTTTTGGTATAAAAAGTAAACTTTTGATCAGTGAAACAATTTTTTTACCTATGAGGCATGGCGTTTGGTCACTTCATCAATATGGGTAGAGACAGGGTAAAATGATACATCACAAGTTTAAAAACATGGGTTTTATTTCCTTAGAAATGGGTTACTTTTTCTACCAATAATCCATGTCATAGTTTCAGGAAAATAGATACAGCTAACAGTTCATGGACTTTTTATTGACCAGAAATACCATTTTGTTAAAACAACTTTTAATACCAGTTTGCCATAATACAATGGGAGACCCATGAACAATCACCCACAAAAGTGAGATCCGGGATGTTTGGTTCTTTAGGTCTCGACATGCGCCATGGTGTAAGTCTGATACACCACTCCTCAACAGGGTACATATACATGAGACATCCTATTCATGGTACTCCTCATGACATCTGTTCATGCTTTGTATTCATATATATATATATCACCTACTCCTCACTGACTCATGGTGTATTTGTTACACAGAGCATACTCACAGTTAACATAAGGAAGACCAGGGTTACACTGCCCAGCACCAGAATTTCTCTGGACCCCGACATCACCAGCTGCTTGAAGACAAAGGACACCACGTACCGTGCTCCCAACACTGTTACCAGAAGAACTGAGACAAGATCTGGAAATACAAACAACAGGTGCTGGACAAAAAAAATGTGGCTAAAAGCAGTTCAAATTAATTCTTTATTAAATTTTTAACGTGCCCCTTACAGAAATTTTCTTTAGACGTATAGGAAATTGGGACAAATCCTTTAGGGTCCTATAAGACATCTGACAGAATTCCTACAGAGTCCCATAGATTCATGAAGGATTCCAATAGAGTCCCATACAGTCCTATAGCACCTCTTATAGGAAATTTTCTTAAATCAAAAGCAAGTACTATTATAATAATGTTAAGCATTTTTGATTACAATTAACTGTGCTCGAGGGAGCAAAGAACACATGGATATAACGCTGTATTTAAGTATGTATCTGAGGATGCATGACACCTTTTGTTTGTGCACTGCTTGCTATATACAATCCTAGAATTTACTGAGGAGAGGATGGGTAGAACAAGGGGAAAAGTAATTTCATATTACTCTGCATTTTGCAGATTAATGAGGGGGAGGGGAGGAGATATTTTGTTTCTGTAGGGGACATGGCTGGGGGTAGGGGTTGGTAAAGCTAGGTGTGCCACCTGCCTCTGTGGCCTTCTTCCTGGGGAGGGCAGGGCGGATCCAGGATTATTTGAAAGGGGGGTCCGGGGATGCGAAGCCGACCAGAACCCCCCTGACCACCCCCCCCCCCTCTAAATCTGCCACTGGGGGGTTGGGAGGGGACCACCAATCTGTGTATGTTAGTGTGAGCCACAGTGAATGTCAATCATCCTGACTCCACTCAATAAATATCATGACACACTCACTTATAACAAGTTCCAATGTGACCCAGGCGTAATGTCTGGCCACTCCCTCCACTGTGCCAGCTCCAGAGGTCCCATGTCCTGCTAACACAGGTAACAGAGCCATCAGAATCCCCAGCCATACATCCTGCATTATCAACACTCCAAGCAGGATGGTGCCATAGTCGTATTCTGGCCTCGGTCTGGAGGATGTTGGAACTAATGTATAACAGGGGAAAAAGAGGCTAGTGTTACGTATGGCATCTAATGGTCGATCGCTTCAAACATGGACATTTTTGGTCAAAATGTGGACTTCTGGTAAATAAATGCTTATGATTCATACAACATCATCAGATTCTTGGCGTGCTCCGGCAGATCTTAACTCTAACTGGCTTTTTAATTAATTCATTGGTACTAGTATCTTTTGTGTATGCGTGTTAATTCAAATACACTCACAATTATAATATAGGACAAATAATGATAAAAATACTGATATCTACACATTATGCAGATTTGAAAAAGAAAATAAAAGACTCACCTTCCTCTTCCCTCCTATCAAGGTAGCCAGTTTGACTTAAGAACTTCACCACCAGAGGTGTACTGGACAGAGACAGACAAGCTGAGACAAAGGCACTCTCATTAATGGTGGACTTTAGCTGCAGGCCCACCACAATACCTGCAATCACCATCACTGACATCATCATTGTACAGCCTATAGTGGCAACTTTGAACACCTGGAATGAATCAATAAAAAGATTGATGAATTAATCTCATATCATGTATTTCAATATTGTAAATATAAGATGAATTAACACTATGTGAAATAGAGTGCCCCTGAAAAGGTCACCTTAAATTCTGGATTCCAGTGTGGTTTCAACCCCATCAAAATATGAGATAACATCATGGCTAGCATAATCACTACCCAAGTATATACACCTCAGTGGCAACAATATTTATCTAGATAAAGAAGGCAATATTGAATCTTAAACTACTTGTTCAAATGGACACAGGGCTTACAGATATATACAGTAGTGCTCAATAACTGAGTCAATCTTATTTCATAATTTCTCAAAGGCAATTCTAGAAATGGCAAAATCATAACTACTGAACAGATTTTCATTCAAAGGTCTAATAAATTTATCCAATAACCTACTTGTAGCTGTCATTACAACAATAACCTTTTGTCATCCTGCAAATTATCAAACAAGTGTTACTGTGTTAGTGCCATGAAGGTTTGAAAACTAACTTCTTAAACATTTAAAGCTTCTATAATGTCAGCTAAATGTGTTACATGTTTTAATTTAAACTCCGGACTGGTAGTTGTAACTTGGTATAAATAGATCCAAGATTTCAATGGCCATACATAATAATACTCAGAGTTTATCTCTTAGCCAGTTTCAATCACATAATTGTTTTATTTACTAAGAGTACATCAGTCAGTCTGGATAATAGCTTGGTCTTGGTTAATTTTTATATTAATAAATTATACAATTATTTCTCTTTGTACATGTTAACATGCAGTAGTACCTAGTATATATAATAAAAAGTTCATATCTCCAAAGCTTTGATTAAACATGACACCAAGCTAGTTGACATTTTATAGACTGGTTTAAATGGTCAATGCCAAAACCCTTTAACCTACTAATATAACCTAGCAGGAGCAGGCAACTAGAAGGAACAGTGTCCAAAACTGAACAAATTTATATTTTATTGGGAAAGGTTCAGTTTTACTTAAGTGCAGGGCCATTGTCCATCTTGTTAACTGTGTTAACTATACATTTTATTGTTGGCATGCTTCTCCCATTTACTTCAATTTGGAAAATATGGCATAATGTTGCACCTTTAAAAAATCTATACTGATATCATTATATATTTGAATATGTGACAAAGCAGTTAACATTCAATATAATTATAATGTGTCACTATACTGTTACTAACAGTACTAGGTACAAAGTCTTACCAGCAAGAGTGAGATCACTTTAAGAGCATATTTTGACAATTCAGTAGTAATAACACACCACTAAATTGTGCTTGGTACAAAGTCTTACCAGCAAGAGTGAAATCACTTCAAGAGCATATTTTGACAATTCAGTAGTAATAACACACCACTAAATTGTGCTTGGTACAAAGTCTGACCAGCAAGAGTGAGATCACTTTAAGAGCATGTTTTGACAATTCAGTAGTAATAACACACCACTAAATTGTACTAGGTACAAAGTCTGACCAGCAAGAGTTACATCACTTTAAGAGCATGTTTTGACAATGCAGCAGTGGCATCCATCACAACTGGTGACATAAATGTCACTGACATCTAAATTCCCATTGGCTACTAGATGACTAATTTCAGACTATATTCAAAATCAAGTGATATAACAGCTAGAACCCATCTATTTACATGTGCACAAGGTACACTTTCAACATGCAAATATACGATCATTCATTTCCATAAGTTCTGGCACCCCATGTTTTAGGCATAAGGGTTTGAGACATTGCCAAAAGCAAGCAAACAACTGTCACATCCTCACTGCAGATAGGGAGACAATTCAAGGTAAGATTAATAATGCTTTAACTTAATGATTATATCAAACTAAGGAAAATATACAGAAATTTGCAACTAAATAAAATGATAAAATAAAAACAAGGTAGCAAAGCTGTCAAATGTGCACACAAAAAGAAAATGATGATGCACAACATAGGTTATTTTGCCAATTTTGGTGCAATAATACATTACGCTTAAAAGCAAAGTCAACACCAAATTTTACTTATGCACAGTCCACAGGTGACACTGGTGTTAGGAATATGTAAGAAGCATAAGGCTTCAGGCCCATGAGAGTTTAAATTCACCCAATGTGATGTGTGCCACAATGAGAAAAATAAAAGTTTCACACTGTATAAATTCAAGAAAAAAAAAACAATCTAGCTGGTTTTCCTGTTTGAGCTGTTTGTCAACCCTAAGAATCATTCTTGTAAGTTATAAAATAATAACACAGTTTTCATAGCATTTGTGGTGGCAGTGCACAAAACAGATTTTTTTTTTGTCAATTTTGATGCAATATTACATATATTAACAGCATAATCACCACCAATTTTAGTTATCATATATACTTAACATGGACATTCAGAAAATATAACTAACATACAGCTTTATTCTTATTGAGAGTTCTAATTCCCACATTGAAAATGCCAACATGTGAAAAAATGAACATTTCACAAAAACTGCACTTCTTCCAGAAATTAATCCAGTCAGGCTGGTTTTGCAATTTAAGATGTATTTCAATCCTGTGAATCCTTTCTGTAAGTTTGAGAATCATAAGTGACATGGTTTTCATATAATGGTCATTGTGGCAGCAGTGTCCAAAATGCATTTTTTTTTTTAATTTTGATGAAATATTACACAATGCTTAAAAGCACAACCACCACTAATGTTAAATTATGGCATGCAATGCAGGTAACATTTAAAAAATGTAATTAACAAAGGTCTTCAGGCCCATGGAAGTTCAAAGTCATGCCTGAAAATGCCATTATATGTGAAAAATGAAGATCAACATTTCACACACAAAAAAAAAAAAAACTTAATGTGTTATCTGGATTGCATATATACTGGAAAAAAAAGACAGCATTACTTTTGGAAAATGGACTGATGAAGCTGATTTTCAAACTCTACCTGCATTTTATGAACATACAATACTTCAGTTCTGTAAATAGTCTTTCACTTGACCTGTTATCTCTGAGATTGCAAAGCTAATACAGCGATGGCAATTCCATCTGTGTCTGCATATAAAAAAATCCTGTTGATCTCAGCATTTTTCTAGAGCTTATATTCATGGAAGAAGCGATTAAAACATTATAAATCTGATGACTTTAATTCATTAAACTATCACATGTAAATCAATCCAGCTGAATGGTCATAGGTGGTTCATGTACTTTCCTTTTGCAAGAGAACAGTAAAGATTTTCTATAATAATAATAATAATAATAATAATAATAATAATAATATAACCTTATAAAGATACCTGGTGTTTTAAGTCATCAGAACAGGCTTACTATTTGAAACAAAACATCAGAAATTATGCATACTGTCACTTTAAATTCTGACAAAATTATCCATTAATTTTAGAATATTCTCCACCATTCCTTCATGACATAGCCCTATAGCACTGTTGTCCATTTCTTTTACATGTACCAGTACAGGGCTATATACATATATATATGAATATGCATTGTTTGTATGAGGAATAGTAACACATCATTTGACCAATTCCATCCCCAGCATATGTGTGATGTGTTCATCATGCAGTTCAATGCATCAACACCTTTTCACACTCTACAAACTCTGTCCTTACGGAGGAAAAGATGTCATTTCAAAGTTGGCCAATGTCCTTAAACTGACAAGACATAGCCTTTAAATTGATCCATTTCTCCTATAAATAACAGATAATTCAATGTTAGATAAAACAGAGTACTACACTCAATTGATATTTTACATGGTAAAAAAACGTCAAAATTCACCACTGTCACAGACTGATAAGATTTTGAGGCGGTTTTGCAGT